AGGGGTCACAGTTGAGCAGAGGACACAGTAGCAGAGCCAGCCACCTCAGTGTGATGGGAGCCCCAGGCACACCAGCCACACATCATGATCACTGACAGAGCCACAGGAGTGGATTCAGCTAGCTGGAGCACCAGTGGCCCGAGCTTCTAAAGCCAGCCAAATTGGCACCTTTGACTTGCATCTGGAGGCGTCGGTCAGAGAATGAGATAAACACCCATGGATTTTCCAAGCTTCAGGTTTTCCTGGGCAGCCCTGAGTGAGCCCATGGTCACTATAAGATCACTCCCCACCCTGGTTCCCCAGCACGTGAGCCACTGTTTAAGTTGACAGACAGGAAGGACACTTATTAAGGGCATCAGAATCCGATAGATGTGTGAAGAGCAGAGACTGGGGTTCATGTAGCCAGTCAGCGGGCGCCCTTATAATACAGGGCAAGGATTTCACAATTCTCTTCTGTTTGTGTCCACACTGCCCTCTCCACCTAGAGACTCTAAACCAATTTTTTTGTTGTTTTCTGGACACATTTCTGCTTGCTCTGAAATCTGTTCTTTCCTGGGAATATTTATGCCACCTGTTTCGATTCTAAACCCTAAGCAGTTTTTTTTGGGGGAGTCACACCCAGTGATGCTCAGGGGTTACTCCTGGTTCTACATTTAGAAATTACTCCTGGTGGTTCTTGGGGGAACCATATGGGATGTAGGAATTGAACCTGGGTCAACCGCTTGCAAGGCAAATGCCCTACCCACTGTGCTACCACTCCAGCCCCCCCCCCCAAGCTGCTTTTGCCTGAGTGGGGGGAACGATCTCCACTTTAGGGCTCTTTTAGGGGAACAGTGTCCCATACCAGACACTCCTGGCAGAGGGCGCTGTGCGTGCCAAACTGCTGCGCGAGCTAGGCGCCCCAGGGAAAGGCAAACCACCCCCAAGGGCAGCTCCAGCCCAGCAGAGCTGGGAAGAAGAGCTAGAGAAGAGAAGGTGGGGCAGATGCTCCGAAGATTCTTGGCAGTGAGCAAGAAGGCGGCTCTGTGGGGAGCCACTCTAGTGAGACTGAACAGGATCTTAAATAGAAACATCACTTCACCTGCCTGGCGGAGACAGGGCGCAATGTCGGGCGGCCGCCGGCATGCGGGATGAGGAGGTTGGGGAGGGGAGGACTCTGGCTATCTCCCCTGTCCCAGGGGGAGCTCATGGGAGAGCACCTGGCCTGGGGGTGCTGCCAGGAGTCACCAGCAAGCCTGCATGTCCTCAGTGGCCCTCCAAGCCCACCGCTCTGTCTCTGTCTGCCTAGGCTGAGGAAGGGAAGTTCCAGAGATGCGGCCCAGAGGCCGTGGTCCCCAACACTGTTTCTCAGCTCACGCTGGGCGCACGGTGATGGGGGCGTGTGTGATATGCATGTGACAATGCGAGACGATGTGGCATGGCATTGCTCCTGTTCTGGTGCCAGCCTCTGTGCTGTGCACGGGCTGACCCTGACGTTTCTCTTTGCTTGCTGGCACCTGTCTGGCATGGCTGTGGCTGTGTCCGAGGTGAGCCGGGCCCCTGCCAACATTGGGATGTTCCCGTAGGCCTTCCGTTCCCATGGAGCCGCCAGTCGAGGCCTGTCCCCATGGTTCTGGGTACACACAACCCCGGGCACTGCTGCTCCCCCTGGCTCAGAGCCTGCTCCAGCCCAGCTGCCACCGTGGGATTCCTTGACGGGTGGGTGGGAGCTCATTGAGGAAAGTTTCTGCGTTTCCCAGTGTCTTTCTGTTTTATCCACTTGCAACCCCCAGAATTTGCTGGAAAACTAGTTTCCTCTGAAGTTGCTCCCTCCCTGCCCGTGTGCTGTCCTCTCTGTTGCTTCTAGAATAGCAGGCGGCTGCGCCGTTAGTAGCGAGAGCCAGGAAGTAACCCTGCTCCCTGGAAAACAGGGGACTTCGGTACTGAAGGTCAAGATACCACTCCGGGGGATTCTGGTCCTGCCTCTGTCTCTCTTCCTTGGCCTGAGACTCTGGCCCTGACAGGTCCCTACAGAGGGACCTTCTCCATGGCGCCTCTCCATTCAGAGCAGTTCTGAGCACTGCGAGTCTCCTGGCCGCTCCCTGCGCTGTTCCGCAGAGGGCTGCTTCTCCTTGTGGCAGACCCTCAGGGGAGGCTGCTCTGTCCTCTGTGTCCAGGAGCTGCAGTGACCTGATTCCTTTCTTTCCTTGTGCTGTCACCAGTGGGAACCAAGGGGCGTGGGACCTTGGCGCAGAAAGGAAACTGCTGCTTCCCACTGAAGGGCAGCCAGGCTGACCCTGTAAGTCCGGGTGGGACCCTCTGAGAAGGAATCAGGCTGCTGTTGGTCAGATTGTCCCCGGAACTGGGACTGGGACTCCACGTCCGCTCTGCTATCTCTGTGCATGCCCACAGCTGCGCTGAGAATCCTCCCTGTCCGTACAGGAGGCAGAGGACATCCTTGGCAGCTTCTCTGTCCCTAGTCCCTGCGGTCACCAGCCCTCTGCTTCACCCGCTTTCCTTACTTTCCAGCTCTGCCCAGTAGCAGCAGAAATATGGGGGCTGGTGAGATGAAGCATACAAAGGCCGCCGGCCTTTTTGTGTCCACTGCTCCCTGTCCTGGCGGAGTACAGGCTGGGTGTGGGGGTGGGGGCGGGGAACTCTGTCTTCCAAGAAAAGGCTGGCTGAGGGACAGCTTCTAGTTCCCTGGGGCTTCCAGCCCAGCTGGGTCCGTCCTGGCTCACCCTCCCTCTAAAGATAGAAACACATACACACAGTGTCTTCCTACGCCTCTGCACCTCATAACTCAGAGCTGGGCTCTCAAGGCAGGAGCAGCCTCAAGGAGCAGATCGCAGAAACAGCCTCGGAAGAGGGGCAGGAGTCAAGGAAGCATGCCGGGGAGGAGAGGCGGAACAGGACCTGAAGCCAGCCAGGCTGTGGCATCCGTGTCCCGGGCCCAGACTCCCACCTCTCCCCGCCCCCACCCTGCAGCCTCCCCAGGTGCTCCCCGGGCAGGGAGGCCGCAGGCCATAGAGCAGGCAGTCCCGAGGGTGCAGATTGCTCACATGCCATCTGCACATGCGCCACCCACACGCACACCATCCATAAACCCATCCTCCACGTACATGCTCTCCAGGCATCCACACCATCTGTGTAACACACTCATACACCACACGCACCATCCACAGAATTCATTCACAAACCCATCATCCACAAACACACAGTCCACACATACACACCATCCATGCATACACCATCCACATATACACACCATCCACACACCACCCCCCCCCCACATACACCATCCACGAACCCATCATTCAGGTACATACTATCCAAGTATTCATACCAGCCACATACACACTGTCCACACATACACAGCATCCACACATATGTACCATCCAACACAAACACCATCCGCATATATACCATCCATGCACACACTATCCACGTATATATATACGATCCACACATAATATCCACATATACACACCATCCACATATACACACTATCCACATATACACACCATCCATACACACACCATCCACATATATACACCATCCAGCATATACCATCCACATATACATACCATCCAACACACCATCCACATATACACCATCCATGCACACACTGTCCACATATACATACCATCCACGCACACACCATACACATATATACACCATCCACATATATACACCATCCAGCACCCACCATCCACATATACACACTATCCACATATACACACTATCCACATATACACACTATCCACATATACACACCATCCATACACACACCATCCATATGTACATACACCATCCAGCACATACCATCCAACATATACACACCATCCACGCACACACCATCCACATATATACACCATCCACATATATACACCATCCACATATATACACCATCCACATACACACCATCCACATACACACACCATCCATGTGCATACCATTCACTCACCACACAGACCCTACACGAGTGTACACCTGCTGTCCCAGGGATCCTTCCCAAGACCTGAGAAAGAGACTCAGGCTCTTCCTCCCTTTCTCTCCTGAGCCCAGGGTGGTCAGACACAGGTTGGGGAGGGGGGGAGTGCGCAGGAGTGGGGGGCCGGCTCCCTCAGCACATTTTAACCCCAGTTTCCCCATCTCACCAGCTGTCAGCACTATCTGTCCCTATCACAGTACCCTGGCCTCCTGGGATCCTTCCGGAAGTCGCCACCGGTACTGCCCACTCCTCTCCCCAGCCTCCTCTCTCAGAAATCCTCTGCTACCCAGGGTGCCATCCCCGCCTGCCATTTGGTCTCATCAGATTTCTCGATGACACCCCACTTCCCTCCCTCCATACCACTCCAGCCCTCTTCATCCTGGACGCGTGGACTCCCTGCTCAACCCCTGCAGGTCCGCAGCAATGCAGCAGGTCGCCCCCAGTCTCGCTCCTTCTGTCCAGGAAGGAGCTTTGGGCTTTGGGTTAGGGAGGCCCCGGACTAGGGGGATTGCGGGGAGGGGGTTCAGGATTGCTGTCCGGCCTTTGCACTCTTTGCGCCTTGAGCCTCCGACGGGGGTCCCGCCGCCCCAAGTTCTCCCTGCCCGCCGCCCTCGTGCGCACATCCCTGTCCCCGGCCCGAGAGGGCGGACTGGGCAGGGCAGGGCCCGGGTGGGTCCAGGGGGGCGCTTCAGGCTGGGCCCCGCCCCCCGGAGCAGCCATTGGCCGCGAGCGGGCTGCGGACTCGGGGCTCCGACACGCTCCGCACTTCGGGGCGCCGCGCGCGCGGGCCCGCGCCGGGGTCTGGGGCGCGACAGGCGCGCACGGCTCGGCCCCGGCCATGGACGCGGCGCTGCTCCGCAGCCTGCTGGAAGCCGACTGCAGCCCGGCGCCCACCTCGGGGCCGCTCCTGGACGGCTGGGGGGCGCCCCTGGACCCCGCGGGTAGGCGGCGCGCTTGGGCGGCGCGCGCGGACCGGCCCGAGCCCCCGGGGGCCCCTCTGACCCTCGCCTCGCTCTCCCCGCGCCAGGTCCCATCTCCTGCAACACCACCTGGGACCAAATCGGGACGTGCTGGCCCCGGAGCGCGGCGGGCGCCCTGGTGGAGAGGCCGTGCCCCGAGTATTTCAACGGCGTCCAGTACAACACGACAGGTGAGGGCGCGGGCGGCGGCCGGCGGGCTGTGGAGTGCACCCCGAGGGATGGGGGGGGGCGTGTTGGGTGCTCGTCCCTGTTCCGCTGGAGCCCAAGACCTCAAGGAGGAGGTGCTGCAAGCGGGAGCCCACGCAGGAGAGAAGGAAGCGGAGCTGCCCACGGGGTTGAGGTGGGGGGCACCTTCCCTGAGCGCTCTGCTCTCTCCCACCCGGACTTGCTCCCCGCCCCCCACTCTGATGCGTGATGGTAGCCATCCATGGCAGAGGAGGATGGGAGGCAGGAGAGATGGGGTGAGCTCCGGGATAGGGGGGCACGGATGTTTCAGGGCCAGCCGGGGCAGTGCCCTCTTCCTTAAGCTCACGTCCCCTGCCAGCCAGCCCCAGGCTGAGACAGGGCGGTGGATAGTTGCCCCAGGTGACATCTGAACTCGGACCCCTCTGCCACCTCTTCCTCCCTGTTCCTGGCAAATAAGGTTGCCGGCTCCGGAGAAGGCCGTGGCAGGGGCTCCTGGAGACAGACAGCACCCTGGGTGGGTGTTTCTTTCGGACTGAGGGCTTTTGAGGGGTAGGAGAACAGGGGTGCCCAGCTCTGTGCCAGGTCTGAAGGCAGTCACATGGAAGAGTCTGGAGAGCCGGCCCTGAAGTCCCCCACAGCTCCAGCCCTGTGCCACAACAGAACCCGCTGAGAACCCCCAGCCAGGGGTGGGGGTGTGTTGGCCTGAAGCACTCCTCCTGGAAGCATCCCTGCACCCTGCAGTGGCCGGGCTCCCACGCTCCCACACGCACTTCCCTCCTGTTGGCACTGAGCCTTGCCCTGCTGGAAGGGGGCGAGAGGGCAGCTGCCCGGGCGCTCTGTCGCTGCTGAGGCTGGGGTGCCCTCTGGATGGATAGAGGTGGTCCCGGGGGTGGGGGCGCCTGCTGAGGGAGGGTGACACCCAGGGCAGGGTCAGGGGACAGCAGCCATCCTGGGAGGGAGGGAGCCGGGCCGGCTGCGTAGAGTGGGAAGAATGCCTGTGTGCTTCTCAGACTCACACTACACAACCCCATCCCTTGGCTCCTGTAGGTGGGGGTGGGGGGCTCTGATTCTGGCTGGGCCTAGAGGCCCAGGGCTGAGTGGGGGTGTGTCTCTCAGCCCCATCTCTGGTGAAGGGAGGGAGCTTGTCCGGGCTGGCACTCCCACTGGGTCTTTTCTTCATGGCAGAACCGGGCACAGTGTTTGTAAGCACTAACTCCATGCCAGCCAGCGCCTGGCACTGCAGCCTGTCTCAGATGAGAGAAAGAGAGAGTGGAGGTCTGAGAAGTGCGGTGGACGGGGGATACCTGGCATGCTCCCAACCTGGTACCCCCTATCCCCAGAGCTCTCTGGGCTTGGTCCTGAAGGCCTCGGGGACAGCTGGAATGGCCCTGCAGGTCCCCAGTACCGCTAAGGTTGCCCAGAAACCCCCCTCCTCCTGTTCTGCACCACAAGGACCAATCAGCTTTGCATCCTCAGGTCCCACATTGAGCCATTAGTCCCGTGGGCCAAGAATCACTGATGGGAAGCCCAGACTCCTGACCTCTGCCTGGGCACCCTCTCCACAGAAATACAGAATGATAAATGCCCTAGTGGGGGGATCCTGGGGAGTGTTGAACAGGGGGACAGAGAAGAAAGACTGAAAGACTCCTCTGAGGTGGGTCCAGAGTACACCTGCCAGGAGCACTCCTGGAACATCACCGGAAGAAGCCGAGAGCCGAAGCGATAGTGCAGCAGGAGACCATTTGCCTTGCACACAACCCCCAGCATCCCATATGGTCCCCCCAGCAACACAAGCATAATCCCTGAGGGCAGAGCCAGGAGTGACCTGACTGAAATCTCTGGGTGTGACCCCAAAACCAACAAAAGAGAATCTGAGAAGAGGGTCGGGGTGCCGCCAGTGACACCCTGGACCAGTTAGACATGGACACTTTGCTCCACTGGAGCAAATCATGGAGTGCTGGGGAAGGGGTAGGGGTGAGGATGACCCCACTTCACAGCTGAGGCCAGGAGGGCAGAGCTGCCCCTGACTCTTGGTTCCTCCCTGGTCCTCCGGCCATTGCTGCTGCCTTGCTGAACCCTGCTTCTGGAAGAGTCTTCCTCTGAGAAAGATGTAGGAGGAAAATGTGACACCCTGCACGCAGTTATGAACTACTTTTATTGTTGTTTTGGGTCACACCTGGTGATGCTCAGGGCTTACTCCTGGCTCTGTACTCAGAGATCACTTGCAGGGGTCAGGAGACTATATGGGATGCTGGAGATCCAACCTGGGTCAGCCACATGCAAGGCAAACGCCCTAAGTCGTTGTACTGTCACTTCAATCCATGAACTGCTTTTATGCCCATTTGGAAAACAAGAAAACCGAGGCTAAGAGTAGCTTCTTAACCATGGGCAGTACTGCCTTCTTGAGACAAACGTTCAGGGTGTGGGGACAGTTTTGGATGGCACAGAGCCTCTGTCTCGAAGATCAGGGCAGGCTGAGCCGGACTTCAAGGGCACAGTCAGGGTTTTGCAGGTGACCAGGAGCTAGTATGGGGTGGAAGGTGGAACTGTGCGTTATGCCTCGGACTTGGAGAGTTTCCTGTGGAGCACGGGGAGGAGGAGAAAGATACAGACAAGACCAGATGCAGGATAGGTGTTGCCGTGGGTGCCAGGTAGGGGGATGCCCTGGGGGTGCTTGTGAGTGGAGGGTGGGGAGTCTGGGGGCACCTGCAGCAGCTAGGGGTTGAGTGGTGGTAAAAGCCACTAAAGGATGTTGCAGGTGACCTTGAAGTCAACCAGACAATCCTGGGTTGGAGTCAGGAGTGAGGAGGGTGGGGGGTCGGGTCGAGGGAGGAGGCTGGCTGGGAGGAGTGGGAGGGTTATGAGCCTGGAGCTGTCCAGACAATGCTGCCTGCACAGGGAAACGCTCAGGAAACTCGCTGGTGGGAGGCTTGGGGGGTTCCAGCCAGGATCTGGTTTGCTAACAGGTAGTGACTTTGGGAGGCCAGGTCAGAGCTTCTAGTAGTGTCACCAGAGATCAGAGGTGTATCAGTGGCAGGGGAAGGGGATGGACTTGTCTGGGGCCACACACAGATCTGTGGCCAAGCCAGGTGTCCCCCGGTGATCTCCCAGCATCCAGGCTGCTGTCTATCCAGTTCCAAGCATCTGTCTCCTTCCTGTCCTCACATTCATCCACCAGACTGTGGACTCACCCAGTTACAGACAGAGAGGTGGCCTCCTGGAGCACCAGGGGAAACCGAGGCAACGGAAGCTCAAGTGGCTGTTCCAAAGTCACCCAGCTTGCAACAGAGTGAGGTTCAGAACCCAGGTTCTGTGGCAACGCTGCCGGGTTCACAGAGGAAGGATTTGTGGAAGGTCCGGGAATCACTGGGCAGGCTGGAGACCCAGTTCCAGCCCCCGCCCCTCCCCCACTCCTGCCTGTTCAGGGCACAGCAGCTATTGGGGCCACCTTGTCCCACGAGTGCGCTCATTCGATTCCTCCAGGCTCGGGGGCTTAAGCTTCCAGTGGAGACTTTTCTTGGAGCTATCTCCGTGTTTGTGTTTCCTGGGACCCCCCCCCCAGCTCACTCATTCCATCAGGACAGATGCCTGGATGGCGTGGGGGAGCGGGGCCCCTCCATCCACAAGTTGAAGAGCTGGTTTTCGGCTCTCGGATGGGGGCCCTTATGGGGCAGAGACGCTCCTGCAGTCTCCATAGCCCATGGGGATATGGGTGAGTACCTTGGCCCTCCCTCGAAGCTTCCCCCCCACTCTGTGCTTCCGCACACTCTGTTCTCATATGAGGGGCTCCCCCTGCCGTGGCTGTCCCCTCCCTGCCCTCTCTGTGAGGTGCCATCACAGGATGGGCCCACCCACTGTCCTCGGCATGGAGGCATGCCTGGCAGCGGGGGATTTCCCCACAGTAGAATCCGGGCAGGGGGATGGGCGCCTCCCCCCACACTTACACCTGGGGGGGTATCAGTGCTCTCCCAGGTCCAGCCACGTTCATTTCTGCCCCCTGCTCCATGACCCCACATGGTCTCCACGAAGTGCTCTGTGCCCCCATGCCTCGGTTTCTCTGCTCTGCTCTAAGCGTGGACATTCACCCCTGCCAGGCCTCCTTAAGAAGAGAGGTGGTGCTAGAGGAATAGCACAAAGCTTGCATGCCGCCAACCCAGGTTTGATCCCCGGCACCCCAGATGGTCCCTTGAACATCCCCGGGAGTGATCTCTGAGCACAGAGCTAGGAGTAAGCCCTGAGCTCAGTCAGTGTGCCCTCCTCCCACCAAAAAAAAGTATAGAAGGGGGTCATGAATGAAACTGCTTTAGAAATAGGAGCTGAAAGTGTGAGGAGTCCAAAGTGAAGGAAGGCAGAGCTGAGAGCAGTGCCCACACAGCCCTGGATCGCATTCCAGGGGTCCCTCTCGCTGAGGGCTGGGTTGGTGGGGCAGCGTCCCCGTGTCTCAGCCCTGACCTCCTCGGCCAGGTTGGTGGAGCCAGGGGGAGCACTGTTGACCCCCCCAAACCCCCAGCACCCTCACGTGCTCTCAGCGTAGCAAGACCAGCAGGGAGCACTGAAACAGGAGCCAGTTCTCATTAGCTCTGTCTTCAGCCAAGTAGTGATGGGGGTGTGGGGGATGACCTTGGGAACACATCAAGGTGTCTCCCTCAGTGGGAATCCGAGGTCAGCCTTCCTCTCCTTTGGGGGCCTCTGACACCCTGGATGCAGGACTGAGTGAGCCATGCTCTCCCACATGTCCCCCAGTGAGCCTCCCCACCACATGGATGACTTGTCCACTGGGAGGATACTGGCCCCGAGGGCTTTTCCCAGGAGAGAGGCAAAAGTTTGTCCGGGGCCAGAGACAGTGTAGGAGTGAGGTGCTGGCCCTGGTTCAATTCCTAACACCATCTCTGTGACCCTGAGCCCCAGCAGGAGTGATCCCTACTCATAGAGGGAGGAGTAAGCCCTGAGCACCTCCAGGTGTGGATCCCTCCCACCAGAGAGG